ATGTTTTTTGTAATGTTGTCACATTTAGGCCAGTGACTGTAGTATGCCTTAACCCAACAAGAATGATGTATATTGTCAAGATACTTCCAAGATAGTTCATTTAGGGTCTTCATCCTTTGCATAACCTTCTCAAATTGGGGAACAACGGTGCATCTAGCACATTCCCACACAATTCTTCTTGTCTCTTTATCCTTCCATTGCTTGATGAAATTCTTCCACACATGTTGGACACAGAACCTGTGATGCGAACCTGACATAATCTCCTTCAAAGCTGGAACCAGTCCCTATATATGAAAATTAAACAGATTGTTATAATACAATCTGGACACAACAATTTCAAATGAATAAATAAATGCATAAGCCATAAAGTGTTACCTTTTGTTGATCTGATGTGAAGTTCCAACCATAAACTCCTTGATCCCCTAAGTCTTCCTGCAATAAAGTCATAAACCACTTCCAATTATCCTTTATCTCACTATTAACCACGGCACACACAATCACATAAAATTGCTTGTTTGCATCCTCACCCACAACACTCAATAATTGACCCCCATAGTAGCCCTTCAAAAAGCAACCGTCTAACGAATTAAAGGCCTGTAACTAGCTTTGAACCCCTTCTTACAAGCATCAAGGCAGATGTACATTCGGTCAAATATTGGCAGTGCTTGTGGAATAGGTTGGGGGGTGGCTTGATATTTGCAACTGGATCCAGGGTTACTTCTCAACAGCTCATCAAGATATTCCCTTAGTTTTTCATATTGTTCCTTCTCACAACCTTCAATGGTTCCTTTGGCTATTTTCAGAGCCTTGCTTACTTTTTTCAGATTCAAGTGAACATTATATTCCTCCTTCATGTGCTCAAATGCCTCTGACCTTGACATCTTGGACTGTGTCAATATCCTCTTCTCTAATTTCCTGGCCACCCAATCTTGAGTAGCCCTTTTATTCTGGAATACTCTACAGCATGTATGGGTTTCGTTAAATGTTTTTATTTGGAATGTGCTTAGGTTGGTGTTCCAAGCACAATACACCATCCAACTGCACTCTCTTCTTCATGGTCCGAATTGACCCCATCATCATGTGAAATCTCATGATCCAAATTGACCCCATCATCATATGTATTCAAGCCATCATCACCCTGTGCATGATCCTCATGTGAATTCACCTCATCATCACCCTGTGCATGGTCATCATTATATGTGGAATTAACCACATTATCCTCTGCACTGTCTGGTTGAGGTGAACCAAACTCAGGAATTGAAATGCAGTCTTCAAAGTAGACATGTATCTCATTGCCATTATATAAAGCAGCCTCACACATGGCACACACATCAGAATCAGTACTAAGTGGTATGAGGCCTTGTTGCAAATCGAGTTCACCTGGCTTTAGTCACATCATCTTTTTGCATTTTACATACCCAAATTACTTAAACAGAGTGTCAAGGTCACGTATATTGTAGTAATCAATATCCATCTCAGGCAATGAGTCCACTCTCCCATTTATATAGATCAGCACTCCATCTTCATCTCTTATTAAAATACCACCATGATGATAAACAATCACTATATATTCATACATCTGTACAAACCAGAAAAAAACGTATGTTTCATTAATCAACCGAAAACTTCAAAACCATGGTACTTACTCATAAACCAAAGGCAAGACATATGAACCACTTAAACAGTACAAATCAATAAACAAACAAACAAAGGTATTTCTGAGTTTTTTTTCAACGAATTCCATGGGGTTTTTAATTGTTAATGGGTCAACCATGGACCACTTTGTCATACAGGGACCACACCACCTGGTAGGCATTTCTTTAATCTAAACCCTAAAGGGAAACATGGACCACATTGTCCACTGAGCATGCACAAAAAAACACACATTAAACAACAAAAACTCCATGGGGACCGCAAACTACAAATACCAAAGATCAATAAAAAAGTGTTCCAAAATACTTCCACTCTCTTACCTTTTTTGTACGAAACGTTGAGCCAGTAACCATACCAAACCCCTTATTCTTCCGCTTCCCTCCGATTGTTGAACCACTTTGAAATCGAAATGCAGACAAATGTTTGCAGAACGCTCTTCTTCCTTCTCAGCAATGGAGCGTCGAACTTTCAAGAGAGAGAAATGGTAAAGTGAACAACAGTTAAGAGAGGGGCAGTTTTGAGTTTATTCAAATGCCTCTGAGCAACGTGGATCTTGACACTCCAGACGACGTCGTTCCGCCTCACACGTGGCATTCAGCATGTCCATTAACGTTACACCTCAGCACCGTCAGTGACACCGTCAATTTTGGACTAACAGAAGGACTAACGTGGGTCCTGTTCGTCTTTGTTGGGGACTTGCCAGCTAGTTTATTTTTGTTAGGGACTAATTTGAGTACCAAATTTGTTGTCAGGGACCAATTTGGGTACTTACTCAAAAATGAAATTAGACATATACCCTGATTTTTATTTATTACACTAAGATTATTATTGTAAACTTCATTTTTATGGTATAAAAAGAAAGGGGAATGTGTTTCTCTAGGAAGGAAACATAAAAGTATTCCTGCATATCCATGAATAGTTGTGTTAGATTTTCTTTTTGATTTTTTTTCCACAGTGGGGCCCATTAAATTATGTGTCCGCAAGAATTTTATTGTGATTTTTGTTAAAGGAGAAACATATTCCCCACAAAGAAAAGGTGAGAAATAGGATTTCAGCTTCACAACTTAACACTTCATTTTTGTGGTAACAATTAAGGGATCTATTTATCTTATGTTGCAAGATAATTATCTTATGCAATAATAATAAGGTAGTGGGTTCATTATTATTTTGTTAAGTAGTGAGCTCCATTATCTTGTCTCTATTACATAAAATAATTCTCCATTAATTAATTGTTAATGATAGGCGTAATAATATTTTTTTTCATGCCAGAAATGATTAAGATATTCAATTTTTGGAAATTATCCCGATTATTTGAATGGTCTAGGATTACATCAACGATAAAGTTTTAATTTTTAAATGATATTGAAAAAAATCAATTTTTTTATTTTTTTTGGTAATTACAAATTATGTTCGAAATCCTAACAGGTCATGTCTCTATTATTTTTGGGATGAATCATCTTTAACATGATCATATTATATAAGAAAATGAAAAAATATTCCCCAGTCACTCGAGATAAAGTTATCTTCAGTGAGCTTAAAACGATATTATTTTGGGTTATAAGATTAAAAAATTAACGATAAAGACTAATATAACCCCAAAATATATTACAATTACAAAAATACTTTGATTTTCTTTCCAAAACAACGTCGTTTTGGGCTCACCGGAGATAACTTATCCCCGTTGATTAGAGAAATCCTTTACCCGTAAGAAAATTCTAATAAAATAAAAATAAATCAATGGTGATAAAAAAGATAAAGAAAAAAATGAAGAAGGTTATATTTCAATTTTTTTCTCTTACAATATTTTTAAATTACTTTATGATTATTGGATCAAAATCAAATCAATAATTATAAAATATTATTAAATTAGAATTATTGTTTTGATTTTGATCTTGTTAAAATAGTATAACATCTCCTAAGAAAAATATTAAAATAAAGGGAAAAATATTTATCCTTTTAATTTATCATTTTATATCATTTTAGATTTTTAGATTTTTCATCAAATCAATAATTATAATTTATTAAGTTAAATTTATTAATTAATTAATAAATTACAATAAATTAAAATTATTGATTGACTAAAATTAATATTTAAAAGCTAACATGACACAAAGTTTATATCTTTTAACGGGGAAGGTTATACTTACAACCTATTTTTCTTTACAACCTCTTACAACCCATATCTTAACCGTTGATTTCCGTCAATCAACGGTTAAGATTTTTAGAAATTAAATTTATTAATTAATTATTAATTCGCAATAAATCTTTACCGTTGATTGATGAAAATCAACAGTGTTAAGATATGGTTGTAAGAGATTGTAAAAAAAAAATTTGTAATTATAACCTTCGTCTTTATTAAAATTACAAACTTTTTCCCATAAATAAATACTTCAAAATCATCGTTATTAATTCACATTTGATTAAGATTCTATCAAATCTTCCGCCATCTTTTCGATTTTCAGTTGCTGCCATGTAACGTTACTGATGTAAAAATAGACTATATTTGTTCATGACATTTCGTTTACTCTGTTACTTTGTTCCTGCTTTCTCCTCAAACTCAAACTCACCTTTCTTTGATCACTGAACCACAGGACGTTACAACCGCACTCAGAATCCCAGGTTAAAAAGCAAACAAGGAAGCCCCAAATTCAGGCGCAACCGGTTAAATTAGAGAGGAAACCATGAATTGTGTGCTCTGTCTTTCTCTAAACTAAAACTAAAACTAAAACTAAAACAGTTCAAGTTCCAACTCTTCGACGCTACTTTTCAAGTCCTTCAATCTCGATTAGCTTCTTCACTACATTATCACCATTCCTCTTCTCCTCTCACCAGGTACGTCGTCGTTTTAATCCCTCCACCGCCACTACCACCTTTTCTCATTCAATTGAAGAAATTCCCCACTAATTTGAAAAAGTTAAAAAATAACAAACAATTTGGTTTTCCTTTTCGTGAATCAGTTGTTTTTGTTCGGAGACTTGGTTTGACAAGTAGTGGAATTTATACAAGTCTTCTATTTTTATTTTATTTTTTCTTATATATATATGATCACTTTGCGGCAGTAAAATTGTTTCTTTGCCATTGAAAGGTCACAAGTTCGAATACGAACAATAATTTTTTTGTAATTATTTGCAAAAATAAGACTGTGTATAAGAGTTGTCCTCAACTCACATTCGCTAATTGGGTTAAAATTGGGTAGTGGTTTTTTATATGATCAGTTCGAGAATTTAACTTCTTTTATTGGCATCTGTGCTTTTTCTGATGACACATTCTTCCATGCAGATAAAGAAATTGGATTTCGAAGTTAGTGATACATTTCACTGCCTGAAGATAAGAACGTCTAGTTGAATATGTCTTCTGCAATCAAGGGTGATAGGAAGACTGCAATTGATGCAGCATCATGGATGTTCAATGTAGTCACATCTGTTGGAATAATCCTTGTGAATAAAGCCCTCATGGCTACGTATGGTTTCAGCTTTGGTATAGAGTCATAATTCACTACCTTTTTTTTCATTTTCTTCCCCCCTGACAATTTTTTTTTTTTTTTTGCTCTCTGTACAAATGTTTATTGCTTTAAGTTACAATGCATTCATCATTGTGTCTGGCTTTAATTTGTTATGTGCAGTATAAACTTATTCCTAGGCTTTGAAAGAAATATCTGATATACCATTACCGGTAGGTTAATTGGGGACAAGCATGGCATCAGTGGTGTTGCTTGTAGACCCCAAGACTGTGTTATAAAAAGATAGATAGAAAGAAAAGCTGAGCGAGTGGGTAATGTTCTATGTTATGCTTTTAGATGATATGTTGATGTTGTACAATGTGACTCACAGAGTATGCATAACTAAACCAATTACAATATTCCACTTAAATTTATGTGGCATTCAAAGAGCCACCAGTTCTCAACTTCAGCGGGTGGGGGAAGAAGACACTAGCAGCCAAAATTTTTTGTTGTGGTGTTCAAGATAGGCATTAAAAGCTTTCATCTGTAAAACTATTTATAAACAACTTATATCCATGATTTTAGTGTTGAGATTGATAAGGACTTGTGTATTATTGTTTATTTATATCCCAAAACTGCAACAACCAAGTGTTCAGAATAGCATCGGATGATTGATTAAAAATTCTCTTATATAACTAGTTGATCAAAGAAGAGTGTGACTTATGGTTTCTTCTGATGCGAGGTAACCGATTATTTCTGAACTTTTGCACTACTCCTAAGCCCTGACATTGTATATCATATACTATCATGCAGCTACAACGTTAACTGGTCTGCATTTTGCTACAACAACCTTGTTGACAACCATTCTTAAGTGGCTGGGATATATCCAGACCTCTCATCTTCCTTTACCAGATCTTATAAAATTTGTCTTATTTGCAAATTTCTCTATTGTCGGAATGAATGTGAGTTTAATGTGGAATTCTGTCGGTTTCTATCAGGTAAACTTTGGGCTATTGTAAAAGTATCAAAATTTAACTCTGCCTCTGACAAAGATAAGTATTTATAGTTTCTTTCCTTTGACATGAAAATTTCAGATTGCTAAGCTGAGTATGATTCCAGTATCTTGTTTCCTGGAAGTTGTCTTGGACAATGTTCGATATTCGAGGGATACAAAGCTTAGCATTTCTCTGGTTCTCCTTGGCGTTGCTGTGTGTACAGTCACTGATGTGAACATCAACGCCAAGGGTTTCATAGCCGCTGTAGTGGCAGTTTGGAGCACAGCAGTGCAGCAGTATGTAAGTAACTTGCTAACACTATATCAACCCTGAATTTTAGTTGTGAGATTGTACTAGATGAAAATTGAATTCCTTATCATAAAGGTGGTTTTAAAATTGGTGAATGCGCGCTTTCATATGCATGATGCTTGTTGTTGACATTCATGTATACAAGAATTTATTCACCTTGTTATAGATCTAAAATTGACATAATGGGATATTGGGAAGCCTGCAGCAAATTTTCTTTATAGATTTGGTTTTGGATCACGGATAGTGTTTTCAGATACATATTCTGCATCAGATTTATGTACCTTACCTTAGTTCATTCCTATCCTAACTCTTCCAGTTTTATTTGGGTGTCATGATCTAGATTTTATTAAGCTGATGTTTTACTTCTATTTTGTGCAGTACGTGCATTTTCTTCAGAGGAAGTATTCTCTTGGATCGTTTAACTTGTTGGGCCACACTGCACCAGCACAGGCAGCAAGTTTACTGCTAGTAGGTCCCTTTTTGGACTATTGGTTGACAAACAAACGAGTTGATGCCTACGGCTATAGTTTGACATCCATTGTAAGTATCTATTTCTACGTGTTGCTTAATTACATGCTGTAGAAAAAAAAGATTGTGGAATCACGAGCTGTGTTTAAGAAATTGCTTCAGAATTATATATGCAATAATGAACAATTAAAGTAGAGATGATTCCAGAAACTAATAACATGCAATGATATGAAATAAAGCATGAGAGACTAGGAAAAAAATCCAAGCCCAAGCATTATTCTTGTTTCTTTAAGACAATTTGCCCCATCTGTGGTACCCAAGAAAAATGGACAATTGTCTCTAAAGATATAAAAATTACCTTTAATCTGCATATTCATCCATGTAATTCTACTTTTACCTGCATACTAGCGGCATGCTAGTTGCATACAGCTCTTCTTTATATTAATCAAATTTGTGCAAGCTTGCCTTTTTTTTTTCCCGGAAGATGTGCAAGCTTGACTTTTTACTCATGAATAACGAGTTGCTTGCCATACACAATGAATTTGTAAGGGTGGCCTCCCTTATATCTAAATCTGGTTCTAATTTATTTTTTCAAAAGGATTTGTATGATCTCAAATTATTCTCATCGAGAGAGAAAGCCAAATTATTCAGTTGATGGGCACATTTGTGTCATTCTCTTTCCAAAAATGATAGTGACATTTTCCTAGGGAAAATAAGAGGATACAAATATGCATGCATTTAATGTTAATTCATATTACTATCATTAAGCTGATCTCCTTTTGTCTGCAGTTGTTCATCACTCTGTCTTGCACTATCGCAGTAGGGACAAACCTCAGCCAGTTCATCTGCATTGGAAGGTTTACGGCTGTATCATTTCAAGTCATTGGCCATATGAAGACTATTCTGGTCCTGACCTTAGGATTCATTTTCTTTGGAAAAGAGGGTCTCAATCTACAAGTAGTTCTAGGCATGATCATTGCAATAGCGGGAATGATCTGGTATGGCAATGCATCTTCTAAGCCAGGAGGGAAGGAGCGTCTTAGCTTTTCCATTCCTACCACCAAAACACAAGATTATAATGAACTCCCAGTATCCTCTGAAACGGATCAGGAAGTATAAAGGGTGAAACTTTTGGTGAAGTGCATGGGAAAATTAGGTGCCCTTATGTCAGCTGATTCATTTTCTTCATACCTAGAAGGAATTTCCTAGTTATTTATGGATACATAGTCATATATCTTCGCTTTTGTGTTACTGACTTGGGGGAGGACACCTTAAATGGGTTCCATTTTTCCATAATGGCAAATGTTTTTGTTTTTTTTTTAGATAATTATAACGGAAAATGTTAAACTGCTACTTTTAATACTAAATTAGTAAATTCACTAAATTTTCATCCCATTTTCACTTTTTTAAACAAATTTGTGACATTAGCAACCTCTCCTCCGTTGAGTCCTGCCCACATAAAAAACCATAGGCATGAAAGAAATTTAAAGGGAAAAAAGTGGATGTGTGAACTAACTTCACTAGTGGGTATGCATTATTTGGATCAAGTTGCAGCCCGCGGTTCATTAGTGGCACAAGTCACGTTGTAAAACTTCAACCCAAGGTTTCCTTGATAAGAGTATATGAAGGTATGTCACATAATGAGTTTAATTTGGATGTATTACATTGAATAATCCATAGGTAACTTGGAAGTTAAATTTAAAATTTTTTGCTACCGATTCTAGGTGTGGGGTCCAAATCTTAATGCATAATATTGATGTAGGAAATGCATCTTTCAAATTATTTGAAAAGGAATGTGTTTATTTATGTAAAAACTAGTTCGATAATATTCTGATTAAAAAGAAAGAAGATATAAAACATATTATTTTTGGTGAAAAAAATTCTTATCCTATAGTACGGATAAGACGTTAGTGGTATATTTAAGATCCCAAGGGTCCGTTTGGTACATCTGATAAGAGGAATAAGATAGGATAGATTATCCTATCATGTCCTTATCCATTGTTTGGTGAAATCAATAGGATATGATAAACTTATCTTATTGGCTTATCTTATCCTACTCATAGTCTAATATCTAATCCCAAAGAGGGCCTTGGGTTAGGGGGATAGGGTAGATAGAAAAATAATATTTTTATTTTTCCCACTATAACCCTCTTTATACATGAAACGACAATATCTGCCTAAATCCAGTGGCGGAACCACACCAAAATTTTAGGTGGTGCCAAATTTTTTTGACATATTAAATTATTAAAATATTTATTATAATTACACAAACTAATTAGGAAAAAAATTTACTATAAATTCTAACATAGTTATCTAAATTATGTATTAAATAATATCACGTAACATTGAAAATTCAAATGAACAATTATCAATGATTATATATCAAAGCAAACATATAAAAATGCACTAACATTTTCGATAAACATTTCAAACATAAGAATTTTACTTTCCTCTCACAACATAATAAGTAGGGGATAGGTTATTTTATCTATCATTTTTTTCGTCTACCTTTGCCTATCACTCTCTAACATCGTTAGATCAGAATCTTAATAAGAGAAAAAAATAATAAATGCAATTGAGATTCTGATCCAGTGGTATTGAAGAGTGGTAAGCAAAGGTAGGCAGAAAAAATAGTAGGTACGTAGAATAACCTATCCCAATAAGTAATGGACCAAGCATTGTCCTAAGGATATGAAAACACACAAATATAATAAATATATGCTTAATAACATTTAATAAATAATTTAAAATATAATAGAAAAATGCATACCTAAAATTGCAAACGACGCTCTTTTAAACTGACAAAATCTTCAATGATAGAATCTCGTAATTCTTGAATAAGTTACTTTGTACTTGAAACTAATTGTATATCATTCAAAATATCTTGAAATTTTTGTTGTAATGCTTGAAAAAGAATTTCAGTGATGCTCATTATCTCTTTCAACAAAAATAAATTAAAGATAAATTTAAAGGAAGTGATTATCTTATAAGCTGCAGTACCATCTCCTCTTTGAAAGTAATTTGAGCCTTCACTACGAATTATTTTAAGTAAGTAGCATCTCCTCTTTGAGAATAATTTGAGCCTTTATTATGATTGCAATTGTAAGTCACAAATTACGGCTTTGAAAGTAATTTTAATTGATGGGTTAGGTAAAAGGGTTTGGGTATTGAGTTTTATTTTTCTGATTGAAAAACATAAATATAATTATATTTATTTAGGTGGTGCCAAATTACAAATTTAATCTTAATTAATTATATATTTATATATAACAAGTAAATTTTTTTAAAACCAAGCAGGTGCTGGCATAGGAGTGGCTATGCCACTTCCTAAATCTCTCCTCCTCCATAGTTGCATTGGCTGGTCATCACGTCATCTTCCTTGTCATCCCCTTCAGAACCATTTTTTTTTTTTTGCAAGTACATAGAACATGGGCGATTAATGTAACATGTTTGCTTTTGAAGCCATTCACCAAACCTGAAATTCACGTGGGTTACCGATTTCGTTTCAGTTTTGGTTTTATTCAGAGGATGAGAGGAAGCGCTTGCATTTCATAGAACCAAAGTTCTATGAATTTCAATGTCTCCAACAAAGAAAAGCATCCATCTTTAACCATTACACAACACAGAAGTGCAAAATGACATAGATCCGGTAAGCCAAATTGAGAAAAAGAACCAAGTTAGCTTAGAATTTACATTTAAAAAATCACATTAAACACATGAAATGATATAAGTTTATCGTGCTCATATCATATCATACCTTTATCTAGTCGTCTTATCCTATCTTATCCATCAAATGAGCTGTAAAAATACCAATGAGTCATGCCCATATCGCAGCCTAAAAAAACCAAACACATGAAAGAAATTTAAAGAAAAAAAGTGTAGATGTTTTTGCCTTTAACCTCTCACAAGTTGGGTATGCGTTATATGAATCCGGGTTTAGCCAATTTGTTTATTAGTGTCGCAAATTACACTAAAAAACTTCAACGTGTGCCTTGAACACAGTTGAGTTTTCCTTAATGTACTGGCCGTGCATGAAGGTATGTCAAATAAAGAGTATATTATACTACACAATAGAAGGGCGACTTCATAGTTACTTTTTTTTTGTGGTGGTTACTTAGTTGTAAAATTTAAAGAGATATGTTATAGGTTTGGGTCCAAATCTTGAGCTAGCATTCAAGGAAATTAAATTCCTCTAAATGCGTAATATTAATTTAGGAAATGAATCCCCACAATTATTCGGAAAAGAATGTGTTTATTATTGCAAAATCTATTTCGATAATAATACTCCCATTAAAAAAAAGGATATATTATACACTCATTGTTAATGGTAGAGTCATTTCTATAAATTACTTTTAAATATATTTTTTATTTATTAAATTAATTAGATTTTCATTCATATGCATTAGAAACTTTTTTCAAATACAACTCAATAATTTTTAAGTAAATACTGTATCATAATAAAAATATAATATTAAATATAAATATATATTCAACTCATACTTTAATTAATAACATTTTTATTCGTCAATTCACATTTAATTGAAAGGATTATAAAAAAAATCAATTTAATAAAAATGTTAACAGACAATTTAAAACTTAAGTAACATTCTACGAAGTAATTTCAGAGGAACAAGCCAAATTAGGTTTTCCAAGCAAAATCAGAAATCCCCAATCTGTGTTCCTTTCGGTCACTGACGCGAGCAATCTCGCCGGTCGCCATCACTCCAGCCGCCGTCTCGCCGGTTTTCATCACCCCACGCCGCCGTCTCGCCGGAAAGACGCAACCAACAACGCCCACGTGAGTCTCCTACACTCCTGTCCATATTGCTACCGTTACTGACACTGATAATGTATATGAGCAGTGCCATAATAGATGAAATTGTATTTTCAAAATGTCCCTAACAATAGAGTATAGAGTGTTGAAATAAGAGTGTTGTTAGCATTTCTCTTTTCTTTTTTCTGGTTATTGGGTCATGGATTTAGTTAATTGGATCCTTCACGAACGTAGCGAGTGAGAAGAGCATCTTTTAGCTTCATTTGTTCATTCAGTATTTGGCTTTCTTAGGAATATGCTTGATTGAGTGCGGACTTAGGGGCTTGGCAGAAAAAATATGCTTGATTCAGTATTTTTTTTGTGTTTTCACTATTTATTTAATATGTATATTCCTTTAAAATATGGATGGAAAATAGCCAAGGTGGTTATGTGTTAACACTCAGAGCAAATCACAGGGAGGTGAAGTGTCAAATTTTATACCACATTGGGGTGTAGTTCTTTTGAGCCATGGCAGAAAGGGCTAACTGTATTTTCCCCCCAAAAAATATCCATTTATTTATTTATTACATGTTAATGACCAAGGAAAAAATTCCACATAAACCTAACATAAGGAATAAATTTCAGAATGAAAAACACAAATTTTCTTTATAGAACTTTTTTTCTTTTTGAATTTTTTTCTACTATATATGTATATATTTAAAATTTTATGGCATGAGAAATGGAGCCTTATATTATCGAGCATTCATTTCTTTTTATCAAATTTATATATACATATATATATAAAATTCTGGGGACGGTAGAATTTTTGTTAATCCTGTATTTTCCTTGGCAAGCAGAAAGGCATATGGGTGATAGGCAAGTAGTTGACCAACAGCACACAGTTGATCCGCAGCTGCCATCTTCTCCTCCCTCAAAGGATGATATGGTTTCGTGTGTTATGGCTTTGGAGGCTGCTTTGCTTCCCTGTTTGCCAGCCAGAGAACTTCAAGCAATAGACCGGTCTCCCCACCCTTCGCATCAAAGTGAGTAACTGCAAGTCTTCAAATTTCTGATTTTGATACCCTATATTTGAAGTGAAATTATAGGTTAGGTTAATGATTCTGATATGTAAACAGAAATTAATGGTCCTGGGCCCTTCAAAGTCTATACTAGAAGGCATAAATAGATGGGTTTTATGTTTATCATGTAACATGATATAACATCACTTTCCTACACACACATTAAAGAGGTGGGGTCCACATGTTTTTCTTTCTCTTTCATCATTCCACTTTCTCTCTCCATTTTTGTGTGTGTGTTGGAAACAACACTTAAATCATGTAACATAACACTAATAAAACCCTAAATAGATATCAGTAGCAGCAGTTGGTTAGTGCATTATGTGATAATAATCACTGAAGTGGTTACTGTCTGATGTAGGCAGTTTTTAGGAGTTCGTTAATGTATGGTGTAGGCAGTTTCTTATGAAAACAGTTCTGCTTTGGTAGTTAGGGGCAGTTATTGAATTGTAATAATAAGAGGACAAATCCTTAATTAAGAGGTAGGAAATTGGTTGATTAAGAAGTAGAAGACTGAGAACTTGTTCTCAAAGAAGGAGATTACTCCTTGAAGGGGAAATTATCTCTTGTATTATTGACCAAATCAATAAAGCAGTTTGCATTCACAGAAATAGTATTCATCTAATTATAATTGCTATATTGCGCTATAGCAGAGTTGCGTTGCGGCGGCCGGTTGCCACAGACCGTGCCGCGACGGTCAGGCGAAGTGTAACGGATATAGCGGCCGCTATTGCGCCGCTAGTTTCTGCAAAAGTGTTCTCGTTGTAGAAGGAAGAGATTTACAACTTAGATACAAGTGATAGTGAAGATGAAGATTTGGATGTTCATGATTTTAATTATGATTAGTTCCTTAAGTTCTTTGATTTTGACATTTCACTTAAGTGGCAATTTGAATTTTGACTAATTCTGCCACTTTATTTTGTTGTGTTACATTATTTGAGACTTTAATTCCTTCAATTTGCTTATGATTTGAATTTTAATATTTGAAATCATTTATGTTTGAGTTTGAGATTCTTCAAATTTGTTTTTTATGTCACATTTTCATATTTTAAGTTTTATATTTGTGGAGTACACTTTAGGGTATCACTTAAATACACTTTGCACAGTAGCGTTGTAGCGCTACCCGCTGTAGCGCTATAGCAGTTTGGAGGGTCAGCCGCTACGCGTTGCTATCCGAGATTAATAAGTATGATTTCAAGTTATTTTATTATTATTTAGTTACTGAATTTCAGTTATATGGAACCTGAAGCAAAATGTATTTGATATGCACAATGGTACCGCAATTTGAGAGGAATTATAATTGCTGTTTCTGTCTAGTCTCTGCATGTTATTAACGGGAGACCTTTTGTGTCATGAGTGGATGAATATGACATCATATACCATGTGATAATTTCGAGGTATTATTTTAGATTGTTCAATGTGCAAGTTTGCATATATCGATCATCATGGCATGGGGAAGAAAAGAAGGGTGGTAAAAGGTTCCAACAGATTTTGCAGTTGATAAGTAAATTTGTAAAGAGCCGTATTTACATCAATAACCATTCATTGGCTTGATACAATCTAACCACGGAAATGACTGTAAATGACATATACTGATGTGTGATCTTTGGATAAAATTAAGTTTTCGATCTTTTTCCCATTTTTTTATTCCATATAATGTGGGGGCAAGGGCAAAGGGTTGCACTTAGTTAGACCTTGTTAGCTTTAACTTAAGTTCATATGGAACTCTTTCACTACAACCATAGCAGCGCTAAAACGAGCTATTGAAGTTAAATAGAAAGTGATCAGGTCACTGTGACGATACCATATAAAGTTTAACAGCAATTGCAAGACAAATTAAAGTTCACTATGTCCCAGAGCTTTAATTTACAGTGAGAAGAGAAATCTTGTCTTTGCTCTAGTCATCTGGTGGTAACTAATATATTTGGAAAATGGTTTTCTTATCTTGCACTGCATGGTGAACATAACTTACTATGTTACCAAACAGGCTTTCCTCGTTTGGGTGAATATTTTTTATTTATTATTATTATTATTTTTGTTTTCAGTCGATGTGGATAGGTATGCTAGAGATTTTATGGAGGCTGCCAAAAAGCTTCAGCTTTATTTTATCAGCCTGCAACGTGAGGATAAGCCAACAAAAGCTGAAATGCTTAGAAAGGTATGGTGACTACACTGAAATTATACTTTTCCTTCAGCACCTCATGTAGACCGTGTAATATTGTCATCTAAACTTTTGCTGCGTGTCTTTTCTAAGCAGGATATTGCTCTGATGGAAGAAGAACTTAACATTAAAACTGAGCTGATTAAAAAACAAGATAATTTAATTCAGGAGTGGAAAAAAGAGTTGAAAGATCAGCTGGACAAACACAGTATTGAGTTGGACAGGGTTTAGCGGAAGTTTGTGCTCATTTTCTCTTTGAATATTTAAAATTTCGGTGGCACATTTGTGGTATATATTTCTTTCTCTCTCCTTGTCCTCTAGTATTGCTTCATTGCGTGACTTACCACTCCATAGCATGGATACCAACCACACTTGTACTAAGCAGTTTATAAAATATATCTTCTCGGGGGAAGTGATAACCGATAAATGGAAAAAATCATTTTTATGCTACATGAGATAAATTTTTTCTTCTACACACCTTTCGATAATTATGTCATCTTTTTTTTTTTTCTTTTTTTAGGTGGTGGAACTTACAAGTTTGTCTCTATGATATGAAATAATTTATCTTCTTTAACATGATATTGATAAAACCATTGATAAATAGCCACAAAATGTGTGATTTCTAGTGCTTCAGCACCACGAAGTACTCATGCTTGTGCTCCTGTTATCAAATATAGTAAAAAATAATATTTTTATATTTATTTTCACTCATATTCCATTTTTTTCTTTTTTGGGGGAGGAAGTTCTCCAAAATGTGATATATAATGACAATAGTCAAATCATCCAAATTGGATTAAGAGAAACGCTGATGAATATTGGGACCCCTGTAAAAATAGCAAGGCAAAAAGCTACAAGGAAAACAGGGATTGCAAATAGGATCTCATCAAATGTAGATTGTCCTCTGTTACAGTACAGCATTGCATCATTTCTCTCTCGCAAACATAAAAACTTTCTAATGCTTCATCGCGAGATTGAATTGCATCTCATCCATGCATCCATGTGCATCATCCTGAATTTCTGCATACGAAGGCACTGGTGAACCGTGTAATGCTTGTAAAATCTTGGCCTTTCTATTTTCATTGAGAAGTCATTTATGGTGGACATGGTAATAGGTAGTGTTTGGTTTATGGTTTATTTTGGGATTGATGGGAAAGTGTAAGTGGATATTGGAAAATATCACGTTTGGTTCAGGTTTTTTCAAAAAATACTAGGCAAATAGGATAGATGGAAAAATGACTTTTGTGTTGATTTTTGGATGAAATTCACTGTTATAGAATACCACTTGAGATGTGGTATTTTGAGATAACAAGTGAAAAAACAGGTGCAAAGTTTCTTCCGAACATAGATTTTGCATATTTAAATAAATTTTCCTGGTAATATTTTGGCCAACCAAACAATTTTTTTTACATTTTCTTACTAAATTCACTTTCCAACCATTTCCCTATCAATTACATTTCTCTAGTAAAAAAAAATTTCTCCCGAATCAATCAACATTACCTTAGAGAATAATATAAATCATTAAAAAGGTCTTTATCCAACACTTTAAGGTTTTGGGTTGAAGTGGTTTCTTACATGGTATCAGAGCTTCAATAACCACAAGGTCACGAGTTTGATCCTCACTGCTCCTCACTTTCAAGTGGAATTAAATAAAAAACACAAAAGGTAAATAAAAATTGGACCTGTGCAATATTCACACTTCAAGCCCAAATGGCTCTTGCGTGAGGGGATGTGTTAGAGAATAATATAAATCAGTAAAAAAGATTTTTACTCAATATCTTAAGATTTTGTGTTGAAGTGGTTCCTTACAACATCATCTCTCACAAAACTCACCGTTTCACGTAGTCCTCTTTTTTATTTGTATTTTTTCTCGTTTTACTTCTCTGTCACTTTCTTTGAAAGGGTGTTCCCATAGCTGCCGCAGTCCTATGGTGGCAAGTTTGTTTGGGTTGAAATGTCGTAACAAGAAGATAGATTGACGTTTCTTTCCTCTCTCTTACAGCAAATCAATTTGCTTAAACTTGTTTTGGGTGGAAAACCAAAATTTATATGTTGCATGAGACAGTGCAAGAATTTTTTATTTTTTTTTCTCTTTTCTTTTTAACGGGTATTATCTTATTTCATTTTTTGTGCATTGAATTTTTTCATACAACACAAAAAATATATTTCTCAATTTATAAACGTGTACAAGTATAAAAGTCAAATAAACTCAGAGAACTAAAACGAGCTGGCAAACGTGGAAAGTATAATAGAAGAAATTAAGGAAATGGGAGGAACAGAGAAAGACACCCAAAACAATGCTAGAATAAATTATTCACGAGAGGTAGAAAGAGCTCAAAGAAGGGGTTGGTACTATATGTTCAAAGAAAAATGGAAATTATTATTTGATTGTGTTCTGTTTTTTTTTTTTTTTTGGTAAAGTAGTTAATAAAATAAAATTTTTCTGTATTTTTTTATTTTAAAAGTTAAAATTAAAAATACAAAACAGAAATAACTGAAATATATTTTTGAAATTTTATTTTAAAAATTAAATATAATTTTTAGAATTATTTTTACAAAACTAGCATTATCAAATTATTATTTTTTTATCTTTTACTCTAAAAATTAAAAAAAATATTTTTGAAAATAGAATTCAAATTTTCCTCTTAGCATTAATTTATATTTAGTGGCTTTACTGAACTCATTTTAAGTATGCAAGTAATCTCTTTCTCTTGGCATTAGGTGGAATTCTATTTTTTTCCCTGTTCATATAATTTGTTGTAAAAAATTAAATTAGTTTTCGAAAATTAAAATTAACGGCAAATCCCTCGGTGTATAAGTTTTCCGACTATCAAAACTTAAATATTAATTTAAAATAATTAAAATTAAAATTTTTTAAACAGTTATTACAATAATAAATAAAGGGTAAAGCTACCATCATGTAACATAATTTAAACAAACTTTCCTACTTAAACAAAAATGTATGTGGGTCCCATACATGTAATAAAAATAAAAAGTAAAAAATGATGGTGCGAAAACCAATGAGTCAGTAGGTAAAAAATCTTATATCATGTTACATGATACTCCTTTTCCCTATAAATAAATGATTATAAAGATAGAATATTCTTATTACCAAATATTCCTATCCGTTGGAACTCACTTTTCATTAGACAATCTTTGAAAAGTCTCCGAAGATAGAAAAAAAAAATAACTTTTGATTACTACCGTAATACATAGTTATATTAGATTGATAGTATAGTAGTAGTAGAAACATTTAGTAGTAAAAATATCTTACCTCATGATTATAAATGACTAAGATCAAATTTTCTTTCGCTCCAAAGAATAAGAAGGGAGAAGGATATAATTATCGCTATAAAAGTTTACTAACCTTACAATTAATTTAATTATCGTTGATTTTCTTCAATATAATAGTTAAAATTTATTGAAAATTATTGGATCGCTTTTATTGATTAATTTTTAATTTTTAATAAATTATAACCGTTAGATTAATAAAAATTAATACTAATTAAATTAATTATAAGAATCATAAATATAAGCTACCCCAACAAGACATCCCAAAATTTGGTTTTTTTGAGGCACACAAAATCCCTGTTTTCTTTTATTAATTTTTGAGGCTCACAGTTTCTGTCAGAAAGTCATGTGCCATAAAGACAAAAGCGAAGGAAAAGAAAAAAATCGTCACTACAAAATATGTATGAAAATGAAAGGGAAACTGCAAAAAGAAAACAAAGTAAACCAGAGGTTGGTAAGAATTAAAAATATAAATAATAATAATAATAATAAAAATGGTGCGAGCAATAACATGAGGTCTTTTATCATGATACGTTTTCTTTCTCTGTAATTATAATATCTGAAGATCCACGACAGTATCAGTGCTCTTGTGCGGTCAAAGGTTCGTTAAACTCTCTCCATTTGCTTTAACTTAGTGTTATACTTTCCTCAATTCCAGATTTTGTGGGCACCCACAAAGTTTTTTTTGGATCATTCTTGCAAATTTAGGTGTGTCTTGTAAATATTCTTGTAATGACGTGTGTTAATATGTTCTTGATTTTTATTTTTCTGTTAAATTCCTTTACCTCTGAATTCCGGTTTAGTTAGTTAGCATCTAATTTTATTGTTTTTGTTTCAGTTTTTGAATTACGTGTTTATGATTAAATTGGATTTGATTTTGGTTCAGTTTCGGCTAAGTTAATGTTAATTCTCGAATTTCACTTTCCAAACTGTTGTTCTGATGTCATTTGAGCAGGCATTTCCCGGTTAGTGGTGTGACTGTGATCTTTATTTGGTTTTTGAGAAAACTTTGTTTTTTGTTTTTCTTTATTTTTTCCTTCATTTTCTGGTTTTGTTGAAGCAAATGAGTTAAATTTCAGATATGGCTTTACAATATACTATTTCTTCTCCTCTTCCAAATTGCAAGCTCCTGATATTATCTTCTAACCTTTTAATAATTGAAATTCTCATGTTAGTGTCATCCAATTTTGCTGAATACTCCTTATAAGGAGTTCTTACTTGGTTGTAATCTGAATGTACCCTACAGGAAGCAAAATTTAAGCTGGTATAGTTCCTTCTTGTAAAGCAGCATGTCCTCGGGTACCTTCAAAGCTGCTTTTCAGGTTCTGTCAAGGGCTGTGCCTCAAACTGGGTACAATGTACCTTTTGTGAACTTTTCAGATTTAACATTACATTCCAAGTTTCAAGTAAAATGTATGAAGAAAAGATCCTCAAGGCATAGGAATTTAATCAAGTGTCCTAGCATGCTTCAAAATCAGTTAAGAACTCATCAATTTCACTGGATGGATGTCTGTTTCTGTGACTATCAGACTTATAGTCGTCCATGGTTGCAGACATGCAAATGCCAACAGGCTGAAAGTGCAAGTGGCATAACTGCAGGAGATGAAAATGGATCATGGTTTGTGAATAATGTTGAAACATCAAATTCGGTAAGCAATGCGATGAGTGCACAGCCTATTCAAGAGTTTCAAGATGTTCAACAGTTGAAACAAGAAAAGGAGGTTTTGACATCTAATGGTACAAATGGAACTATCACAGACATCTTTGACACAATTAGCCTCAACTCGTTTGAGGAAGAAGCTTGGGACCTACTAAGGGAGTCTGTAGTTTATTATTGTGGCAGTCCTATTGGAACTATTGCTGCAAAGGACCCAACAATTTCCAATGTTTTGAATTATGACCAGGTCTTTATTCGTGATTTCATTCCTTCTGGAATTGCTTTCCTATTGAAGGGGGAGTACGACATTGTTCGGAATTTTATCCTTTATACACTTCAGTTGCAGGTAATGTCTTGCTATTATAATACTGATAACTTGTCCTGGCAATAGTGCTAAATTTGATACAACTTGGTGCGCTTACTTTGCCGAGATATCTTTTTTTTCCATTTTTTATTTGATTGTGCTGAAGTATTGTGATTGTGCATTGTGTTTGTGTTTTTACAAAGTCATTTTAGTTTTATGTCCTACAAATCGAACTCTTGCTGTTTCTCCAAGTGCTCGTAAATTTTTTTGGAGAATAAAGTAAAATACTAATTTTCCTTTAAGAAACATGCTGAAAATGCTTGTGTCTGACAATTAATATTGATTTAATGGATGAATTGTCTGTGGATAGAATGCCTTAGGACCCTGTGCTGTACATGATTAATGGAAGGGGCATTAAATAGTACTTTTCATAAGCAATCTTTCTTTATTAGCACTTGTTTTGCTAGGACCCTTTACTGTATATAATTAATGGAGGGGAGGAAACAGCTATTGTGGGGAAGGGTGTGAGGTCCTGAAATTCTTGCGATGAGGTAACTTTGTTGTTTTTGTACACTTAAAGTCGTGAACCCACACATCCATATTTCAGAGCTGGGAGAAAACAATGGATTGTCATAGTCCAGGACAAGGTTTGATGCCTGCTAGTTTTAAGGTTCGGACAGTTCCTCTGGATGGTGATGATTCTGCAACAGAAGAGGTTTTGGATCCTGACTTTGGAGAGGCAGCCATTGGCCGTGTTGCTCCAGTTGATTCAGGTAAAATAACTAATCAGATCAGTAGAAATCTTTTTCACATAGCTGAAGAAACTTCCCATAATACTCCTTGGATTGCTGAACTTATTCTACATTTGATCTCAGGATTGTGGTGGATTATTTTAGTACGAGCATATGGAAAATGCTCTGGTGATCTATCAGTTCAGGAAAGAGTTGATGTGCAAACAGGAATTAAGATGATTTTGAGGTTGTGTCTTGCTGATGGCTTTGACATGTTCCCAACATTATTAGTAACTGATGGTTCTTGCATGATAGATCGAAGAATGGGAATTCATGGGCATCCTTTGGAGATTCAGGTATATAAGATTTTCGGTCTTTATTTAATTGTATGATATTATTAAATTATTACTTATTTAAGGCCAGAAAAGATAATCTACTGCTTATTCATGATTGTGCATTTGCATAGATAGGGGGAAAATGATGCACTTTACCAATTTGGTAAGGAGGAACAAATCTTCTTGTGCAAGATTGAGGACCAGCATTCCTATCCCTTATTCTTATTAGTGAAATGAGCTTTCTCTTCTTTTATTTTTGGTAAGGGGTTGGTGGTATGAGGCATCTTTTATGTATTTGAAAGTGGCTGCTATTATATCTTTTTATGCATGAAAGACATAAGGGATGTGAAAATTAATGTATATTAAGTTTTATGCTCATAAATAAAGGGACTACGCCCTAAGAGTTTAAATTGATTAGGTTGGAGTGCAAGCAGAACTCAAATACTTGTAGACAGCAGCAATAGTCAATTATCTGAAATAGATTAGAGTTCGTAAAATCATTATTTTTGGAAAAGAATTGTGATTAAATAAACTAAATATAAAGTACTATGGCATATTCAAAGACTGATTCATCAGAATGATAAATATTAGAATGCAATTGGGCTTAAAAAATTAAACCATTATATTATTGAAACTACAAAAAGGACACTTCTCTTTACATAGATTAGGGCTTTGCTGGTACATGAGCAGAAGGTTTCCATTACTCTTACTGTTTTGATATGCTCTTCAATAACACTGATTGATACTTTTTTTTTTTTTGGTACATGACACTGATTGATACTTGATAGTACATGATGCCTAACTTTGTAATGCTTAGAGGCCTGTTTCTTTTCTTTTTCTTTTTAAACTATCCTTATGGTAGTTAAGGGAAGTAGATACTTGTAACGAATTTTGTGTCTAAGAATAGATGCATCCGTTTGATATTTCCTAATGATTTTGCGTGTGGATTGACTGAAAATTTGAAAAACTCTCTCTCTCTCTCTCTCTCTCTCACACACACACAGAGATAGAGAACTTGAACTAGGAAAAGCTCTTGGAAATTTGTTCTTTACAACAATTAATAGACAAACAGATGTAAAGACACCAGACCTCTCGGCCTTCATCTTATACATCCGACTGTGTCCTTCTCAACTGCCTTTGATAAGCCATATGAGAACTCTGTAATTTCTCCTTTTCAACAATTAATAGACAAACAGAAGTAAAGACATCAGACCTCTCCGCCTTCATCTTATACATCTGACGTGTCCTTCTCAACTGCCTTTATTAAGCCATATGAGAACTTGTTGCTCTGCTGCATGTTGTATTTATGAAAAACTTTAAATAAATTAATTTTTCTTTCTGGGAAATGAGGGATCACGTGATAAAATTATGTAGGTGGTATGAATGGTTCTATGTTACCTACAAAAAATTCACTAATTACCAGAAACATTGAAGTTTATGTATTCTGTTTTAAAATTTTATTTTTGTCTCTTTTTGTCAAATAAATTTATTATTATTCTAAAGATAAAACTGTGTGTACCTAAGATGCTGACAATTAAAGATGAAATTAGTGATCCAGTAATCTTCCCTAATGTGTATTTTCGTTTGCTTTTTGTTTTATTTTTCTGTTTCTAGGCACTGTTTTATTCTGCTTTACTTTGTGCACGTGAGATGCTTGCTCCAGAGGATGGATCAGCTGATCTTATACGAGCACTGAACAATCGTCTCATAGCTCTTTCATTTCATATTAGAGAATATTATTGGATTGATATGAAAAAGTTAAATGAGATTTACCGTTACAAAACAGAGGAGTACTCATATGATGCAGTTAATAAGTTCAACATATACCCAGATCAGATTTCTCCTTGGTTAGTGGAATGGATGCCAAACAGAGGAGGCTATTTAATTGGTAACTTACAACCAGCCCACATGGATTTCCGATTTTTTTCACTTGGAAACTTGTGGTCTGTTGTAAACAGTTTGGCCACAGTGGAACAATCACATGCCATATTGGATCTTATTGAGGCCAAATGGTCAGATTTGGTGGCAGAGATGCCATTCAAGATTTGTTATCCTGCTCTTGAAGGTCAGGAGTGGCAGATAATCACAGGCAGTGATCCCAAGAACACGTACTGTATCTAATTTTGCTCTGCTTATGTTTTTCTAATATCTTATTATATTTTCATCAAATGATTATATTTATTTATTTATTTTTTGCAGGCCTTGGTCCTACCATAATGCAGGTTCTTGGCCAACACTGCTCTGGCAGGTTAGTTATAGTTAGGAACCCGCCTTGGAAATATAGAAAAAGAAAAGAATGACACATATTTGTTCACCATAGCTCTTATTATTATCTGTCTTATGTGAACTATCTTTCATCTAGGCATGTAACTGGATGAGCTTAGTTGTTTTTGTTTAGCAGTAAATGTCCCTTTTCCCTCCATCCATTTATTTCATGCACAGGCAAAACCCTTTTCATATAGCGTGGCTGGTTTCTTGATGTACGCATTGCAACTTGGAAACATAAGGTACAACTTACATGGTTTTAACATATAACATGCCCATTTCAGCTCACAGTTGCATGCATAAAGATGAATAGACCACATATTGCTGCAAAAGCTGTTGAAATTGCTGAGAGACGCATATCAAGAGACAAGTGGCCAGAATATTATGACACGAAGAGATCTCGATTCATTGGAAAGCAATCTCAATTATATCAGACTTGGTCAATTGCCGGATACCTTGTGGCGAAGATGCTGCTGGCAGACCCAAGTAGAGCAAACATACTGATAACTGAAGAGGATTCTGAACTTGTGAATGCCTTGATAAGTGCCAACCCAAGAGGAAAGCGTGGGCGGAAAAATTTGAAGCACACCTACATTGTATGAGTCTTCAATTGCAATTGATTCAGTTCTTTTTGGACAGCTGATTATTAGTTATGATCCAGTTCATTTATCTTCTGATTAGCAGCATATTATTCTAGAAACAGCGGGGATATTTCTGTAGTAGTTTGGGTTGGTTATGATAAAACTGTCTTATACACTAGAATATGTATATGTAATTGTGATGATGATGTCAATACTTCAGGATTGTAATTAGCATACAAAAGATACAACTAATCAGAGATGGTGAAGACTTATATACTAAGTCTCTAGAGAAAAACTAGCTTCCTCCTTTTGCATATCTGCTGATACACATTTCTGTAATTGCCATAGTCCATAACCTAATACAAATTTGTGTTACTGCCATGGTAAATGAATCTGAATTTGAAGAAAATGTGCAGTGGTACTAATAGAATTGAATGATAGAACTTGGGATCTTGGACAGTTGTTCTTGTGAATGTAAGTGATATGTGATTTGAAGTACATTGATTAGATAAAATGGATGTGACTGCTATCAGTAAAAGAAAAACTTAAAAGAAAATCCTGAGAGAGGAAGGATTGGACAGAGTTTAGGAGACCATTATGATCAATATTGGATATTAAATTATTCTCCGTTAAATTCTGACTTAGGATAATAGGGTAAGGATTATCATTATATACAGTTTTATTCTTACATATTTATGAATACAATCTTTAATGTGGTCTCTGTGCTTATCCCTCTAAATCTCAACCCCTAACATCTTTGATGAGTAGTTTCAGAAAAAAACATATATTTTATTATATTTTTTTTTAAAAAAATACTTTTGCTTATTAATTTCAAAACTATGTATGATTTGCATTCATGTTAAAATGGGTACATAAATAATTTTTCATATCTTGCTAATTTTTCATATCAAATTTCATAACAGAAAATATTTGATTTATAAATTAATTTTTATATTTAGTTAAAAAAATAAAATAAAATAAAATTTGGTTCTTTACAAAAAAGTGTCAGAAAATGTTAACCACATATTAAAAAATATTAAACACATATCGGAACATATCCAACACATGTCCGACACACATTTTTTATAAAAAAAAAACGTATCATTACTTGCTTGGCATAATCGCACCCTACATCTTCCCCTTATTCTCAGCTTGCATGAAATCTCTACTTGTTTTTTTTGGTACATGAAATCTCTACTTTCTATTGAACTGTAATTCAAACTATTGACTCAACTTGTCATTATTATATTATATACTTCATCCGAAAAATGAGACTTCGTACGCCTAATAAGGTCACCTAGAACATAATTGGTTTAGGTTGGATTTTCGAGTTAAACAAATCAACCTGAACAATATATAAACACCCCTGTCTTAACCGTATTTCAAAGAAAAGAAATCCCATTGCTTATTAATTCAGATCTATATATGACCACATTTATTTTGTAATGAGTATGTATGATTATAATATCTTTTCAACAATTAATTCCACTATACCTCAGTTGTTTAGTTTAAAGAATCAGCCATTCTAAAATCATAAATATGGAAGTTCAACGATTTAATATCAATTTTAATCCTTTTTATATGTATATATAGCTAGATGCTTTTGACATATATACTACTATAGAAGAACACATATCCGTGTCGAACATTTTGATAGGTACGACACGACAGGATCAATACATATGTATTATTCTCTTTCAAGAAGAAGCAAAGTAGCACGGACACTTTGATATAGTCACTATACTACTATAGAAGAACACATATCCGTGTCGAACATTTTATGGGTATTTCGAATATTCTTAGTTTTGCATTTTGTAACTTTTTTGTTTCTTGAATTTCTATATCATAATAATTTAATAAATAATTTAAGGGTTCATTTTTTTCTAAAAGTTAATGTAGATAACTTATCTACATTGAGCTTAAAACGACATCGTTTTGAGGCAGAAATCAAGGTATTTTTGTAATTATAATTTATTCCAGGGTTATAATAGTCTTTTTCATTATAATTTTTAACTCAAAATGACGTCGTTTTGAGAGTGAATGTAGATAATTTATCTACGTTAACTTTAGAAACATTAAAGCCATAATTTAATTTTGTTATGTTTACCATTATTTATGTTCATGCTAGTTTTTTTGCTAATTGTATATGTCAAATGTGTCAGGTACATATTATGTATGTCTTGGTTGATGCTTGAATAATTTTCTATTTATTAGAGTTTAAATTTGATTCACAGTCATTGTAAAGTTTTTTAACAATGATACATTGACACATTATCAAAAGAGTTAAACTTTTCAAGTAACGGTTGTGATTAACGGGTGTTCATAGGGCGAGTTTAATTTGACTCGAATCTGATCTAATTATATTCGGACTAATAAGAATTTAGGTACTCAAGCGACCTCTAAGAACACGTCTATGGTGGTGCTTCGGGATTCCAATGTACTGCATCTAAGATCAGAACGAGCTTGCCAGCGGACCACTGCCGTCCCATTCTTGAGTGAGCTGGAGTGTAGCCATCTTATCCACTGAACTAGCTAGAAGCTATCGCTTCGGGTCGAAGCACTAAAAGAAAAGGACCGGAATCAATGGAAAACAAGGATTACTGGGTGTGTTTGGTACAAGTATTTCAAAAGGATTATTGGTAAATTTTCTTTGGTAAACCCAATTACCATGTTTGGTAGAAGGAACAAAAATCAATTCCGGATATCCAAGGATTACCGGTAATTTGATTTATAAAGAAAAATCACTATTCAGATTACCAAAAATAATATGATAATTCAGAATACCAAGTAAAGGGAAAACACAATAATAAATTTTTGAGACAAAAATATCCCAAGTCCCAACACACATAAAAATCTAGGCCCAATCTATCAATTACAAAAGTAAAAATAGTTTGGGGTTATTTTGTAAAATAACCTCATATTTTAAGTCATATTTCGTTCTAAACCAAACATGGAATCAGTAATCTTTATCCAATATTTCCGATAATATTTTGGCGAACCAAACATATTTTTCGTAAGATTCCAAGTAAACTCAATTTCTATTGTATTCCCATTAATCGTGATTCTCGGATACCAAAAAATTTCTCTTATACCAAATACATCCTAAGTGATGTTCGAGATCATTGAGAACATCAATAAGTTAAGTACTAAAACTGCGGGAACCTATCAGGTTTCCTTTGAACTTCCATACCTTTTTTCGAGTAGTTCAAAGAAGATAGTGGGGTTAATCGTCCACCTATTGTAAATCGGCTAAATAATACACTATATATGTTGCGATTCAACAATTTTGGTCACATGTGAAAACCTTATTAAGTGCATGATTTATTCTTTTGCCCCTGTACAGAAAAAAAAGATTTATCTTTATATGGAAAACTTCTTATATATGATTATGAAATTAATATTTAGGTAGAAAAAATTTAAATGTTGGGTATATTGATTAATATGAGCCTATAAATAGACACGTATACAAAGCATCAAATAATACAATAATACAATAAGAATATATTCCCATTGTCTCTCTCTTATCTTCATATTTTTCTACTAATTATTTATATTTATTTTACAACTTATATTAATATAAACCAAGGTTTATTATTTATTGTTAACCGTGAAAATATTGTTTTAAAATAGGAAAATCATTGTCTTATGTTGTAGCAAGGAAAAGTTATTCGCAGCAATCCATTATAATTATGTATTAAAGGTAGTAGATAGTAATAATATTAAAATTATTTTTTTCTCTTTCCTCATACATTGTCGGCTGACGTGACAAAAAAATAATAATTTTATCATTATAACTATTTACTATCTATAGTACATAATTATAATGGGTTGCTACAAATATTGTGCCATATTCTAATAGGTTGATACAGTTCGAAGTGTAATCCAAACTGAACTTGGAAATACACTAGATCTAACCAGTGTTTTAAAACTCCGCCCCGCCTCCCGGGTTGATCCGGGTTAACCCCGACCCCTCTCCTCTGAGGGTTGGGGTCACAAATTGGAACCTATATGCATATCGACCCCTCCGACCCCCAAACCCCGACTGAGTTTCAGTAACTCCCAGGTTAGAGGGGTTAAATGGGGTCACTGCATTTTTTTTTTAAAAAAAAATCCCATGAAACAACATTGTTTTATTAAAAAAAAAATTGCAAATCTAAATCTAATCGTTCTCTTCTCTCCTAGCGATCTAGACGTCTTCAATCTTCACCTCGCTGCCGTGAATCTTCTAGAAAAGGTAAGAATTTTACTCATTCAAATGAAATCTTTACAATCATCGATGGAAAACAAAAACTCATTCTTACTTCCTTTAAATTTTCCTTTGTCAGGGACCTTCTCAAAAGAGGCAGAACCGGGTCAGCGTAATGACCCCATTAGAATATGAGTTTGATACTTTGGTATCTTGATACTTTAATTAGGTTGTGTAATATTGACTTGTGGTTGTAATTAGTGAATTGTGTTAAGTATATTTTGAATCTTTGATGATTGGTGGTTTATTTTTTAATATTTTCATAATGAAACCGGGTCAGCGTAATGACCTCGTGACCCCCCCGGTTGAACCCGTGACCCCTGACCTCGACCAGGTTGATGGCCGGGCCGGGTTTTTAAACACTGGATCTAACTTTGAAATTTTTTATATTTCGTTGTCTTCCAAATATAGTTCATAATATTCTTTCTCTTTATCAATATATATTATCTTCTTTCTTTATTTTTATTTTACCCATTCAAAGTACTATGTTGTCTGTCTAGTTTCATTCATCCATCTATAAACATATAGGGTTTTTTTGTTCATTTATTCAGATATGGAAACCTTATTAAGTGCATGATTCATTCCTTCGCCCCTATATGGAAAAAAGATTTATCTTTATAAGGAAAACTTCTTATGTGTGATTATGAAATTATTAATTAGGAAGAAAAAACTATATTAGGGTCTTTGACTTTTCATCTGTTTTAATTCTCAATCTTATTCATAAAATTCTTCTCTTTCTTCAATATAAACAATATCTTCTTCTTCTTTTTTTATTTTACCCATTCCAAGTATCATGTTGTTTAGTTTCAAGCATTTATATGTAAACATATATGGTTTTTTTTCATTTAGTCAGTTATCAGTATCTTTCGATATATCATACAATTTATACGATACGATATAATTCACAAGTCCAATGATACGTATCATAGGATGTATTAGAAAATGATTTTTATCGAAAAATACGATATTGTATTGTACGATACGATATGATACTGTATCGTACAGTACGATACATGTATCATACGATGCGAAAATTAAATCAAATTTTTTAATTTTTAATACAAAAAAAGAAATAAAAAATTGGTTTGTGATTTAAATTAAAAAAATATAAAAATTATTATTAATAAGG